CAAAGAAGATTAATCAGAACTGGCTTTGACAAGCACTGTGGCATTTGGACAAGAACAAACTGGGAGGAGGGTAGAGAGAATAGTGCAACAAGGAATGAATGGAAACCCAAAATCTCTGTAAATGTTTATGAAAATTAATAAAATATAGAAAAAAAATTCACCAAAGTGTTATCTTTAACAGTGAGTAGAAGGATTACAGGGAGCTCTGGTGGTGCAGTAGGCAAATCACTTAGCTGATACCAAAAGGTTGGCAGCTTGAACTCATCAGCTGCTCTGTGAGCAAAAGATGTAGCAAAACATCTATAATAATTAGAGATTTGGAAACCTTATGAGGGAGTTCTATTAATACTGTGTCTTTTAGATTTGCTTTGAGTTGGAATAGACTCAACAACAGTGGGTTTCATTGGAGGAGGGACATAAGCTTGGTGGAGGGATTATGGAGTATTGATGTCTTATTTATGCTTGCCTATGCTTTCTACAGGGGAGCTCTGGTGGTTTAGTGTTAAGAAATCGTGCTGCCAATCTATAGGTATGCAATTCAAATCCACCAGCTGTTGTTCCACACGCAAAAGATGGGCAATCTCCTCCTATGCAATTTATAACCTCTGCAGGAGAGTCAGTTTCAACTCCATGCACATAACAGCAACAATATACTTTCTACAAACATACAGAAATCTTTTGTAATCAGGAAAAAAACCCTAAGTACTATTTCAAAATAATATTTGTCCATGATATAGGAAATAAAAATTCAAACGTAAACTTAACCATAAGGAAAAACCAACCAACCTCAGACAACACTTTTTCTGAATCTCCAACAAAAGGTGAGAAGAGATCAGCTCCGCTCACTGACACGAAAGAGCAGTGGCAGCTTGTGGCCAGAGCCCTCACGAGGGTTGTTTTAGCACACCCCGGAGGGCCATACAGGAGCACCCCCTTTGGCTGTGTGAGACCCATCCTGACAAATTCTTGGGGAAATTTCAGAGGCCATTCAACACTCTGCAAAGACACACAGAGAAAATAGTCTGTTATTTTAGTATAATAATAAAACGTTAAGATAACTCACATATATCCATTCATTAAGCAATTCTCAGATACCTGTTAAGAATTGAGCACACAGTCAGTTCTTTGCAAAGCAGGAGGCAATTTACATACAGCCCAAGTCAGATCATATTAGGTCCTGTTTAAACATCTTCAATGGCTTCCCATAAGAATTGGAATAAAATCCAAATACTTAACATGGTCTATAAAGCCTTACATAACCCAATCCCTGTCCACCAGGCCCATGCATACTGGCCTCTTTACTTCACAAATAACCCCGTTTGTTCCCTTCTGAGGGTCTTTACACTTGCTATTGTCTCTGTTGGGAACACTTCTCCCACACGGTCTTTGTGTGGTTATTTCTTCAATATTCAGATCTCAGCTCTACTTGAGGAAACCTCCATGAAGAGGTCTCTCCACTAGTTTAATAGGCAGAGCCTTCTCCTAATAGTCATATGCTGTGGCTCATTCTTTACTTTGAGATAATGTATTCATTTGCTATTTGAAATCATTCTTTTTCTATGTTGCGTTTGTCATTCTGCTCTTGCCAGAACATAAGTAAAGGTTACCTCCATACGCCAGCACCTAGAATAACACTTTCACCTAGAAGGCACTCAAAAAATACTGACTAAAAGTGAGTGAGTCCTCAGGACCTCTGAGGTTTTATTAGAAGTGACTTACCTAGGATCTATTGTTAGTGGTCTCTGGGAAGTATAACTAGTTAATATACATGTCTACCAACCAGGTGAGAGGTTTGAATTCACTCATTGGGGCTGTGGAAGAAAGGCCTGGCAATCTACTTCTGAAAAATTAGTCACTGAAAACTGTATGAAACACAGTTCTATTCTGACACACATGAGTTGTAATCAACCTGTCAACAACTAGACTGGTTACTGATAGAAGGTGATAGAAGTGAGATTGGCCCCACTCAGTATAATGCAAAAGCATGTTTCTAAATTACTGGCATACAAGCTTTCTAAGAAAAAGGGATACTCCTGTACTTAGAGTACTTACATTTCAGTTGGTGAGACAGGCTTATCAGCTAACTATCGGGCCTGAAAATGGCATACCAAGGGAAAGTATAATCCTTACAGTGAAGTATCAGACTATTTGATCCATCGCTAAAACAGCAAGTTAAAACAGAGGAGAGGGATGAGGGAAGCCCTAAGTAGTGACCCTCAAGAAGAGTAGTCAGATCACAGTGTGTCCTGAATGCTTTAGCTAACATCTTGGAGTACAGGTCAAAAGGAAATTAGTCTAGGAGAGAAGTCGTTACAAGTCTCTGGAAATGTTTAAGACTACTATAAACAAAAACAATAAAGCGGGAAATGTCATAGGTACAGGGATATTGTAGAGAAGAAAAAAATGGATATATTAAATGGAAGTGCATTTTATGTAGAACTAGGTTTTATATTTAGAGAAGAAGTTATGTGCATATATAAGACCCAATGAATTTAGAAGGCAGGCTATGACATAGGGGACAATGAGGCTGGCTTTTTTACTAATGTATTCAGGTATGGGATGGAGTTGATTGGCTGACGCTGTCTGGGATAAGTGGAGTCACCCAGCAGGTAAGCAGCTAAGTAGTGGTTATGAGGATGATTAGATACCTGATTTTTTTTAATCAACAACATTAAAAAAAAAAAAATCAACAACATTGAAGGCTAGCTACAGTCTTGGACATCAGAAAGATCATGAACTCACAGACTACAAGACTTTTGGTTGCTTAGAACACTAACATTTAAAAGAGAAAAGAAATGCTCAGAAAGCTAGAAAAGTTCAATTTTTCAAAGCTAAGGAAGGGTACAGTCAAATCCTCTCCTTTGTGAGGATTAAAGCAGGCAACACATTTAAAGAAGTAATATTACAACAGATAGGTCTATAAAGTGATCTATAACACCAGGAAGCCTTATAATAAACAATCATGTAAGGTCAAAAGAGCAGCATTTTCCCAAGAATAATGCCCTGAGGGCAGCAAGGTCTAAAGCAGAAGGATTAGTGGAAACGAGAACTAAAAGGAAAAAGTGGAAAAAGTAAGACTACATTGTGGATATTGTAATTAATGTTATTAAAAAAATGTATGAATGAGTGAACCAAAACCCAATTTTATTTGTAAACTTTGACTCAAATCACAATTAAAAAGAAGTTTTGTTATAAATATTCTCATCCATAGACACAAATATTCCAGTATTAACAGTGTTAACTCTTGGTTAGGATAAAGTAATTATAGTTGACACTTATAGATCAGTCTTCTCCGTGTGTAGTTAGGGTAGGATCACATGTAGGTAAACTGGCAAAATCCATTTCTCATACTATAATATTGATAAGAGGATATGGATGGTAAATCTAAAGATCAGCAGTTTGAATCCCTCAGTGACTCCAAAAGAGAAAGATGAAGCAGTAAGCATCTATAAAAATTCACAGCTGTGGGAAAAGTATTCTACTCTTTAATACAGGCTTGTATTCTGTAGGCTGAACAAATCATTTGAGAATCTGTGCTTTATTAAGATTAGGATGGCATGAGGATCAGAGGAAGGCGCATCAACAACCTGCTTTACGCAGATGACATGACTTTCCTCACTAAAAGTGAGAAGGACTTGAAGTACTTGCTGCAGAAGATCAAGGAGTGCAGCTTTCAATATGCATTAAATCTCAATACCAAGATTATAAAAAATCCTCACTACCAAGCCAATAGGCAACCTCATGATAGATGGGGAAAAAAGTGAAGTTGTCAACTGTTTCATCTTGTTTGGCTCCACAATCAACATCCTTGGTACCAGCAGTCAAGAAATCAAAAGACGGATCCCACTGGGAAAATCTGCTGTCAGGGATCTCTTCAGAGTACTAGGACAATAATGTCAGTATAAATACCAAGGTGCATCTGATCTAAGCTATAGTCTTCTCAAGTGCTTGTTACACATCTGAAAATTAAACAATGACTATGGATGACAGAAGAATCCATGCCTTTGAGTTATAGTTTTGAAGAAGAGTACTGAATATCCTATGGACAGCTAAGAGCAAGTAGGTCTGTCTTGGAGAAAGTGAAACTAGGGCGCTCTTTGCAGGTAAAGATGGTGAAACTTCACCTCACATAGTCCGGGCATAATATTAGGAAAGACCTGTCCTTAAAGAAGGACATCATGCTCAGAAAGGTAGAGGGATCAGCATGAAAGAGGAAGACCCTCAACAAGACTGAAAAGTCACAACAGTTACTTTCACAATGGGCTCAAGTATGCCAGACATGTTGAAGATAGCAAAGGACAGGACAGGGTTCCGAGTCACTGTTCATTGGGTCACTATGAGTCACAGTCAACTTGATAGCACATAACAACAATAACATAAGTCAGAAATGACTCAATGGCATTAACATAGGTTCCTCAACAGCCACTGTAAGAAATAAAATCAATTAGCCACCTGAGTTAGAGTGGTTGATAATTATAATTTTTTTTAATTATTATTATTTGTGTATTTGTGTGTGTGTGTGTGTGTGTGTGTGTGTGTGTGTGCGCGCGTGTGCGTACAGTCAAATCAGATTTGACTGGTACAGGAGGAGATTGTTCCTCCCTCTCCAGCAAAGCATCTGGTGGATTTGAACCTATAATTATAATTTTATGCTTTGACCAATATTTATTGTGTCCACTTTCTTTTAGATCAGAAGGATAGGTAAGCTAAAGCCCACCACTTCTATATTTCTACCATATCATCCATAAAGAACGCTCTCGAGGCCTATTGAGTTAGTGAGAAAGACACACAATTCGAATCCACCAGCTGCTCCATAGGAGAATGATGGGCAATCTACTGCTTCTGAAAACGTGCTGGAGGGTCAGCTATGAGTTAAATTTCAATTCAATGGTACACAACAACAGCAAACCCATAAAGAATAGTTTTTACATTTTTAAATTATTGGCAAAAACTCTTGTAACATGTAAAAACTACCTGAAACTATAAAAGTTACTAGAACACAGGCATTCTTACTCACTGTGCTGTCTACAGCTGCTTTTATGCTACAACATCAGAACTGGGTAGCTGTGACAAAGACCACAGAGCCTGAAAGACTAAAATAATGTATACTATTTGGGCCATTCTTCATATTTAAAAAGGCATTTGGTTGCCAGTCTGGGAAGATGAGTGAGCAGCTAGATTCTGCTGTGTTTCCTGGGTTTTGCTGAGACTTGGGTGTGGTTGTTGCTCAAAACTGGGTGTGAGATGATTGGATTTGGCCTGGTATTTAAAAAGGCATTTTGGTTTTATTTGTTTTCAGTCAAACATTCTTCTAAGCAGTGTAGCACTGATCTGGCAATTTGCTGTACAGAGGCATCTGTGGTTGCTGTGAGGGTAAACAACTGTGACATTGACGTGTCAAATGCCATAATGGTTACCCATGATGGACAATGTTTGGTGGGGTTTCCAAATTAAAACAGGCTTGGAAGCAGAAGTGGCATCCACGTCCAAAATAACTTGCCTCCAGAAACTCTATGAACTTAAGAGAAAAGATGAAAGTTTTTTGTGTTCAAGACTTTGGTTCATAGGGTGGCTATGAGTTGTCTACAACTCAATGGCACTTAAAAACAACAATCCATTACAAAGTTTGTTGTCTCCTGTTTTGATTATAAATTCTTTAAAACAAAAAACAAGCAGTCAGAAAATGAGGGAGAAAGTATAAAAACAGTATTTGATGCCCACAGAAATCAAGTTAAACAAGGACCAAAAGGTAATCATTTGACTCTGATACTAGATTTCATCAGCATTCAAGGCCGAAAGTCATTTTTATGGAATTTTTTTTTCATCATAAATGTACTGCACCTAAACTGTAATATTCTGCTGACTTAAATGAACATACCTGTTTTAGCTTCAATTTTACATCATCAAGGCCACCAATCTGCTCCCAGTCAACAGGCTTAATATCTATCAATCCAATGGCACTTCGAAATGATGAAGGTTGAATCTTTTTAAAAGCTTCAAGGAAGTCTGTTTCATCAATCACAGAGTTGTACTGATTCTAAAAACATGTAAACAAAAAGGCCAAATAAAACCAAAAAAAGAAGTAAGCCATTTTTGTAGTACTTTGGCACAATGACTTTCTTGAAAACTCTCTTTTGCATTTTCAAATCTGTTATTAAGGAAATACACATACACTGTCCAAAAAAGAGAAAGTTTCCCTCCCATCTTCATTTCCAAAGGATGTCAACAGTTTCTTATGTATACTTCTAAAACATTTTACAACATCAGTATGTATTTATCCTTTTAAAAGGATAAACAAATGGAACCACATTGTATTTATAATGGGCACTTTTCTTATGCCATTTATTTAAGACAGTTTTTCATGGCAACTCATCTAGTTCTCATGCTTTTTGACAATCACATAAGATCCTATTCTTTAAGTGTATTATCTATTGACGACATTCTTCTGATGAAGTCTTTCCTTATTAAGTTGCAACTGAAAGTCCTTCCATATATATTAAAATATTTTCATTAATAATTTCCTAGAAGTAGAATTAATGGCTTGTAGTATACACACATCCAGAATTTTGATAGCTATTACAAAATGTACTCAAAGATATTTTAGTCCAATAACATCTTTCCTGTCCTAGATATGACCAAAGTTTTACATTTCTGCTATCCTGACAGGAGAAAACAGTATATTGTGTCTATTCATTTCAATTAAGTAAGTGAGCTAGAGGGAGTGACTTCTTGTTGTTGTTGTTAGTTGCAATTGGGTCAAATACGATTCATAGCAACCCTATGAACAGTTCTGAACCCTGTCCTATCCTGTGCCATCTCACAATCTGACACCCTCAAGCCCAGTCAGAAAATTGGCTTTATGCAATCATAATAAAGATTGCTTTTGAGCAAGAATCATCAAGGGATGTTACATGTGGGGGAAGGAAAAGTTTTTATTAGAATGTAAGATATTTGCATGCTCTGCAAGTGTTTTCCCACAGACTGCTAAATATTAGTTGCAAAGGGAAAAAACCTGTAGTTATCCTGTGGAAAAACTGGATAATAACTTGACAAGTAAATAAAAATTAACATTATCAATGAAAAGTAGTTAGGGAATTTCATGCCTCTCATGTGATAGCCTAAGGACACACTATCACTGTCAAAGTATTCCTATCAGGAACGCATTACCTGAATCTGACCAGGAGGAAGTATCAGACAAACCTAAGTTGAGGAACATTCTAAAAAATAACTATCTGTATTCTTACCCCATGGACTGCTAAAAGAACAAATATGTCTTGGAAAAAGTGCAGGCAGGGTGCTTCGAGGCAAGGATGGTGAAGCTCCTCACATATCTGGCATATAGTCAGGAAGGACTATCCCTTGAAAAGGAGCTCTGGTGGTTTAATAGTAAGGACTTAGTTGCAAATTCAAAGGAACATGATTCAAACCCAACAGTTGTTATGCTGTAGCAAGATGGGCAATCTCCTTCCGTGCAATTTACTGCTTCTAAAAACTTGCTGGAAGCTCAACTATGACTCAGTTCTGACTCCACAGTACATAACAACAACAGTTCCTTGGAAAAAGACACAATGCTTGGAAAGGTAGAGGATCAGCAAAAGAGGGGGAACCCTCAATGAGATGGACTGACATAGTGACAATAACATGGTCTCAAGTTTATCAGAGTTGATAAGACGGCCCAAGAGAGGACAGATTTCTAATTTGTTGTTCCTAGTTGCTAGGAGTTGTAGTCAACTTGATGGCAATATAATAGTATCAAATATATCAGCAACCATCCAAAAAGGAAGCCAGAAAGTGTTCAAGATTAAAAGAAATAGACCTATATGCACTAAATTATCCTGTACTAGATTCTAGATTGATAGGAGGGAGCTCTTGTGGCCTAGTGGATAAGGAGGTGTGCTGCCAACCACAGGTGCTTCAAATCCATCCACTGCACCTTGGGGAGAAAAACGGGCACTCTCCTCTCATGGATTTATAGCCTCTGAAAATCAGCTGGACTTATGGTCAATTCCAACTCAAATATACATAATAACATCAAGAGGAGAAAATAATAAAAAATAATAATAGAAAATAATAAAAAGGAGCTCTTGAACAATTATCAAAAATCAGAATGTGAACTATGCATTAGTTAATATATCAATGTGAAATTTTCTGAATGACTGATTATACTTGGTTTTAGAAAAAGGTTGGTTTTTTTTAAAAAAAAAAAAGAAAACATTTTAAAAGGCTTTTTTAAGGCTTTTCACACTGGTGTCATAATATTCACATCTTGTGACTTAACTTTGTATTAGGTTGCTAGTCCTTCCCTTTTGATTTGCAGTTCTTTCTAGATCAAGGAAATTGGCCTCTTGCATGGGACTAATACATTTTTTTAAATCTGTCTCATGATTTGACTTTTCTTACTAGTACTATTCTGCCATTCCAAAATGGCTGGATTAACAGATCATTTCATTTTGGCTCTTAGGTTTTATGTTATACTTAGAAATTATATCCTTGTTCTAAGATACTGTCTTTTTGAGACTTTTTGCAATTTCGCTCACTGGCCATGCGGGTAAAATAAAATTCTAGTTACAGTTTAAAATTCCTTATTTCTACTTGTATGTATTGAAGATCTGTTGTTAGATGTTGCTGTATAATAGAATGAAATCCGCCCCATCCTGACCTCATAATCACTACTATGTCTGAGCCCACTTGTGCAGCTACTGTACCAATCCATATTCAATCACAGATCTTTTCGTTTCTAAGCTTTTCATTCCAAATACCAGTCATTTTCAATGCATCTTAACTGCACGTTCAGTCAATTTCAGATTGCAGAAGTAAATTTCTTCAGCTTTGGCACTGCTGTTGTTATTGTTGTCAGGTGCTGTCAAGTTGATCGATGAGCAGTGGTAACATATCTGGCATCAGGGGTCGACACATATACTTGAACCACATCGGCTGGTCTTCCTTGGAGCTGTAGGGCTATTATCTTATCACAGGTAGCATTATACTTCACGAATGATCTCAAAATGTTCTTTTGACAATAAATTAACTGTCATTTCCTTCAATTTGTCATTCCCAGCTTAGTAGTTATCCAATATAAAATGACTATCACCAATCCATTTCAGCTTGGTACTGCCTAGGACACTGATCTTTATGTGTTCCATTTCAACTTTTTATCTTCCAGTCCTAGATTAATACTTTATATTCTCAATGTTCTGATTATTAATAGGTGTTTGCAATTATTTCTTTTACATAGTGCCGTGTAAGCAAATGAAGGTCCTGAAAGCATCCAAGTAATCTAGTTTTCCATAAATTCTTATTTTTAGTAAAGAAATATTTTATCCCATTTATGTAAGATATACAAATGATTACATATGTATAGAGCTAACCTGAACAGTGCTTCCAAAAATGTTAATGACTGTAATCTCCAAAACCCAGACCCACTGCTGTGGAGACCATTCCATAGTTACCTCCCTGGGAAGGTTTCCAAGGCCGTGTCTCTTTATGGAAGGTTCTTTCTCCCATGGAGTTGCTGATAGCTTTAAACTGCCCACCATTCAGTTAGTGATCAACACGTTACACACTACACCACCAGAGGTGACATTTTAAAAAACGCTTATATCCTTTATTCTAAATTTCTCTTTTTTCTCTCTCTCTCACATATACACTGTCATAATAAGAATAGGTATGGATTTTTAAAAAAAATTTTGGCTGGTACTATTAGATTTTGGGTACCTAAACATTATATCAGTATTTGAAAACCTCTATAGGTCAAGATCACTTGATTCTCACAACAACCTTTCAAGCAAACAAACTCTTGCCTCTCTGTAGGCATAAACAATGTGTGTGTGTGAAATTAGATTGTTAACCCTTTAATAGAAACACTTCATTAAAAAGTTAACAAGTTTACTGTATCCCTGGCATAAATAGAGGCAGGAGCCCCTCGAATGCTTGACATGGGAAGGAAGAAAAAGACTGAGTCACTACATTCCCTGGTGCCTCTGTCCTTTCTTCCCTCCTGAGCTCAGCCATCACCTGTGGGAACCTCCCCAGGACAGGCCCCTCTTGGAGTGGCAGTGGGTGCCATCCTAAAATGGCAGTGGCTGACTGGCCCTCCACTCCCTAAGGCACAAGGGTCAAACCTGGAACTTCAAAGCAGAAGGAATTCTACAAGTAAATCTGCTTTCTCAGCTCCAAGTATTCTTTCCTCCCCACCTTTAACGTGGGGTATTTAAAATTTCAAGCAGTTTTGGTTCTGTTCCTGGAAAACGAAGTTAGACATCACTATGGTTCCTCCTCACCTTCAGTGTACAAATGAAAAGAAAAAGAAACTGAGGAAGGATACAAAATATCTACAATAAAAGGTTTTCAAAATTTAGGCCAAGTTACCCTTTCTAGTTGGTGGTCTCCAGTGGCTTAGTGGTAAATTTACCCAAAGGCAAGCAGTTCCATCTACCAGCCAGCAGCTTCACTGGAGAAAGATGTGCACTTTCCTCAGGGGCGATTTACAGCCTCTGAAAATAAATTGGAAGTTCAGCTATGAGTCCATTCCAACTCGACGAAAGTCTAAATAAATTCAAGATTGGATTTTTAAAATGATGAGATCAGAGGGCAATTTTAAAATTACAATTGAGAGTAAACTTTGCCCAGAAAGTAAACTTAGCCTGCTGAAATTATTCCCCCTCTCCCCATACCCAATGAGATTTAGGGAGCTCTGATGGCTTAGGGGTAAGGAGTTGTGCCGGTAACTCAACAACATGCTGTTTGAATCCACTAGTTGCTCCATGGGAGAAAAAAAGGGCAATCTCCTCCTGTAAAATTTACAGCTCCTGAAAACGTGATGGAGGCCCAGCCATGATGAGTTGGTTCTGACTAGATGGTACATAACAACAATGAGGTTTACGAATTTAAAACTACTAATTATACACAAAGTAATAATCAGTAGACTGGAGTTTATTAAAGAAAATAATATTACTAGATGGACTTAGTACTATCTTAATATTATAATTGTCTTAATACTTCTTTTTGAAGATTCTCAACAAGACAGACTGATACAGTGATTAAATGGGTTTGAGCAAGACTGAAATCTTGAGGAGGATGCAGGATAGCATGACATTCATAGGGTGGCTATGAGTCATCGTCAACTCAACAACACCTAACAACAATACTTCTGGGATATACTGGGGAGGAAGAGAGCCAATACCATAAATATTTTTAAAGAAAAACCAAAAACCAAACTCACTCCTGGGCAGCCAAGTCCAACTCATAGCAACCCTCCACTAATTTCTGAGGCTCTAAATCTGTATAGTAGTCACGTTTTAAAGACGTGAATGTCAAAGACAATTCAAAGAAAAACTCCAGATATGTGATCTTCTTCTGGGTTAGGAAAGACATGGGACTTGCCCACCCTACCCCTCAAAAATAACAAGGAAAATGAGAATTATCTTGAGAAGTCCAAGTGATCAAAATTAATTTCACCAGAACAGGACAAAGAAATTAATGTGATAACCTGACAGTTATAATGAGAAGAAAACAGGATCACTTCTGTGATATTCTTGCAAAAAATATAAACATTAATAGTATTATGAGGAAATATCAGTCAATTCAAACTGAAGAAAATCCTACATACTAAGTGACCAATGGATTATATTGTGAAAGAAAAGACTAAAGAATGGCTCTAGATTTAAGAAGCCAAAAATAATGTCTATTAAGTGCAACACGTAATTCTGGACAAGAAAAATAATTTTTTCTTTTTTGAAAAAAATTTTATATAGTAAATGCATATTATCAGACACCAAGTCCACTGCCATCAGGTGGATTCTAATTCATGACAACATGGGGTTTCCCAGCCTTTAAATCTTAACTCATCTTTCTTGAGAGTGCAGCAGAGGGGCTAGTAAAATTGTCCAGCCTGGCTTTCAGTTAACTGTCTACCACATAACACACTATGCCACTAGGGCTCCTTTAAGGTCTACATAGATTAGTATCAGTGTTAATTCCCTCATTTTATCATTGTCTTATAGTTGCATAATAAGTCCTTATTTTTAGGAAATATATGTTATGTTTTCAAGGAAAAAGAGGCATCCTGGCTGTAGCATATTTGCAAATGTTTAGAAAATATCTTCATATGCCCATACATATTTAAAAAAATAGAATAACAAAGTCAATGTACCAAATTGTTAACATTTAAAGAATTTGAGTGAAGGGTATACAGAAATTCTTTTTCAAATTTCTTGCAACTTTTCTCTATGCCTGAAATTTTTGCAAAATTAAAAAAAAAAAGCTTCTTTTAGGGTCACTGACTTTCCCCTGACTGTTTTTGAGATTGTTAATTTCAACATGGTTGTTGTTAGGTGCTATCAAGTCAATACCAACTCACAGTGACCCTATGTACAACAGATCAAAACCTTGCCCAGTCCTATGCCATCCTCACATAGTCCACTATCCTTAAGCCTACTCTTGTTGCTACTGTGTTCTTCTATCAACACTATTCTTGCTGCATTATTGTTAAGTGCCATCACATCAACTCTGGCTCATAGCAACTCTGTGAACAATGGATTTGAACCATGCCCCATCCTGTGCCATCCTGACCATCTCTGGCATATTCAAGCCCACCATTGTAGTCACTGTGTCACACCATCTCATTGAGTGTTTTCCTCCTTCACTGACCCTCTACCTTTCCAAGCATGACAAAGACTAGTCCCTCCTAACAACAAGCTAGGATGTTACCAAAGGGATATGGGAAATATTCACTAAGTAGACTTGGTGGACTCAGTCTCTTATTCCCACCTTCAATTATATATTATTTATATGGAGTTGAGATGTAAATATATATATATATGTATGTATGTATGTGTATATATATATATATATATAAATAAACAGAAACAGCCATGAAGGCCATCAAGGTTCCAAAGAACGTATTATTTATTGTTTTTTGGACCCCCAAATCAGTTACATTATTAAAATATTAACATGGGTAAACAAAAAACCAAAGCAGTTAACCACAAGTCAATTCTAATTCATGGTGACTAACTTAGGTAGATGATCATAACCCAATACTTACCTCTTCACTGCGAAGCATAGCGTGCAGGGCTGCCTCTCTACAGAGTGCTGTCAAGTCTGCACCAACATAGCCAACTGTCATTTCTGCAAGGAGCCCCAAATCAACAAGCCTGGAGACAGGCATCTTTGAGGTAATCACTTGCAGAATTGCCTTTCTTTGTTTAAGTGTGGGAGTCCCAATAACAACCTATTTGCAAAGGAAAGAGAAAAATTAGTGATACAGTTTTAAAAGTTACATTTTCATCTTCACAAATATGTGCAATAATTTAATGAATTCTTTTATAACTAGTACTATGCACTCTGAAGTGTATCTCAGATTCTGAGCATATAAAGTTAGGAATTCACATGCTGAATTTCTAGAGGACTAATAGTGGCTAGAAAGGCACACAACAAAAATGATACATAGAACTTAAATTTAATTTTACTTTTGCAAACCTATCACACTGGGTCAACTCATTGCCATTTAAGTAAAAATCAACTCAAAGCTGACCCTCCCCCAAGAGGCTGCAATTTGCACAGGAGGAGATTGCCCATCTTTTCTCCAGATGGTGGATTTGAACCTGCCTTCTAGGGTTGGTAGTATAACTCTAACCACTAGGCCACCCACAGAGCTCCTTATCCCACTGACAGAATCAGCAAAAGACAGGAAGACCCTGAAGGAGATGAAGTGACACATGGGCTCCATCACAGCAGTGACTACCTGGCAGTGTTCCACTGTGCTGTACTAAGATCACTGAGATGAACTGACAAAGTACCTAATAACAACTACCCACATTCTAGGAGGCAGAGATATGGCTAGAACAGCAAACCAGATATACTCCATCCCTGTCCTCGGAAGCTCTGATGGTCCAATGGTAAGAAGCTGTGCTGCAATCCTAAAGGCACATGGTTTGAATTCACCTCTGAGGGGAAAAAGATGAGCAATCTCCTCTGACTCTGTGATACACAAAAGAACAGATGCCTGGCATTATACTGTTTATTCAGGTACAAGAAATTCACTTAAGTCCTTGACAGATTATGCCAAAAGGATGCAATTATGGTTGGTTTGTTGAAAATTCTACAATGTTTAAATATAAATTAAGCACAATCTATTTACTAGATATCAGTAATCAATCCAAGACTAAAGCTCTTTTTTTTTAAGCAGGGGAAAGCGGGCATGCAGTCCTGCACTACCATAAATTATGCAGTTAAGTTTCCCACATTTGGGAACACCTCAGGAGTTAGCACATCGAGAGTGCAATGCATAAGCCTTGCCCTGGGAAAACCACCTTCGTGATCATCGTATATCCCCTGCTAGGTAAGTATCATCAAGATAAAAATTTTAAAAGACAACTTCAAATATTTAAATTTCCAAGCAACTCAGGGAGCAATTGTAGGTGTTTTAATTGTGGAACAGGATGCCCTAAAAAAGGTATTAATGCCTTTCTTAATACCTCTCTATTCCAACAACTTAAAAATAAGCTTGGAAGGTTGGAGGGTCAGCCAAAGACAGGAAGACCCTAACAGGATGAACTGACGCAGTGATTGTAATAAAAGGCTCAAGTATACTGGGATGGTACAGGATAAGGAAAGGTTCAGATCCGTTGTTCATAAGGGTATGACTCAATGGCACCTTGACACCAACCCTTCAAATATAAATGCCCATTCCAAATCCATATGAGTTAAATATGTATGTCAACCTAGTTCTATTAAGAGTTAACATTAGGGCTTAAAGTACATAGTCAACTTCAGGATAAATACAATAAAACTAATTCCTAAGGGACAATTTGAATTTTGTGAAAAAGCTGGTCTTGGCTCTTAATTTGACCAGAGAACACTTTCTTTGTATTACAAAGACCCCTACGCACGCCAACTTCAAACTGAAATAGAAATGTTCCGGGACAGCCAGCTGGCCAAGCTCTAGGAGCAAAGGGCTAACTGGTCCCAGGCCCATTCATTCACCTCTCGGTCAAACCTCCCTGGTCTCCGCAGCGCTGGGTCTAGTGCATCCGGACGATTGGTGGCTCCCACAACCACCACCTCGCGGTCCCCAGTGGCGCCGTCCAGCAGCGTCAACACCTGCGCCACCACTCGGCTCTCGGGGGCTTGGTACGGGCCGCCCCGTTTGGGGCACAGGGCGTCCACCTCGTCCAGGAAGAGGAGGCTGGGCCCGCGGCTGGCCAGCTCCTGCGCGCGCTGGAACACCCGCCGCACGTTCTCCTCGGTCTCCCCAGGCCGGGCGCCCTGCAGCGCGGGGCCGCTTACGGCCAGCAGCTCCGCGCCCACCTCCTGGGCCACCGCCCGAACCAGCTGCGTCTTCCCGACTCCAGGGGGGCCGGCCAGCAGCACTCCGCGGGGCACGGCTAGTCCCAGAGCAGCCAGGGCCCGAGGGTAGCGGAGCGGCAGGTAGAGGAGCTCCCGCAGTGAGTCGGCTGCTTCCGAGAGGCCGCCCAGGGGCACCTCGGGCCGCCGCTCCACTTCCGACGGTGGGGTCCCGCTAAGCACAATGCAGGTGCGAGGGGTGACCAACCCCGCCGAATCCACGTTGGGTGATCCGCTGACTATGTGCAGGGAGGCCACGGGGCCCGGAGCACCCGGCGGAGCGGCAACCACGTGGCCCCGAGAGACGGGCCGGTTCCGCAGCAGCTCTTGCGCTGCCTCCAACACCTCGTCCTGATTCAAGACCCTGGGCGCGCCCGTCTGCTCCCGCAGCACTGGCCACACTGTGAGGCGCCGAAGGGGCGGGCAGGGCACCACGCTCAAGCGGCTCAGGCTGAGGGTCTTCCGGGACCTGGGCACCCCCACCGCTGCTCCGGGGCTCGCGCACTGCAGGTCCAACTGCACAAAGCCATCAGCACCGTCTCTCCTCGGCCAGGCGGTGCAGAGGCAGGAGCCGCCATCCGGCAGCGAGATCTTCACGGCCGAGCCCAAGTGCGCACCCAAGGCACGGAGTGCGGCTGGGCCAAGGCGGCATCGCTGAGTACCCCGGTCTCGAGGGTCTAAGGGTAGCAGTTGTAAGAGCGGCTCTTCAGACAAAGAGGAAGAGTCCCCAGCCATAGCACGCGGAGGGAAGAACGGTCAGATTTCCACCCGGCCCTAAAGATCAAAACACCGAGCTTCGCGGCCGGAAGTGGATAATGCGCAAGCGTCAGAGTAGGTTGGCCCGGTTTAAGTTGTCTGGCAGGTAGGATTTACTGGTCTGGAGTCACCAGTATTCAACTCTTCCTGGGCTGAAACCGTACGCACTACACTGCTCCTTGCCGCTAGAGACCTTCCAATTTTAAAAAGAAATTTACTATCCTCATGGGTAGAGTATTATTGGGTGCTGATGCTAATACCATACGTGAGTTGGGATAGCTAAGAAAACAGTCGTAGCGCTTTAAATAACCAGGGTCCCAACTTGTTTGGGAAGTCGATGCTAAGTGGTAACATAGAAGAGCACTAGCCCTGCTAAAGAGAAATACAGTAAGGCACTTAAATACCTTTGAGAGAGGAAGGAAATCCAGGCCATCTGATGTATTTGCGGTACGGTTCAGTCCTTTGAATGTTCTTTGGCAAGATGCTGAGAACAGCCAACCCCAGTTTCTCGGATAATGCTATAAGAACTTCTTAATTACTTGGAGACAACACTAAGTCCTGCCTTAGAGTGAGTTCTTATCTACTTTTTTGTTTCTTGCTATTCTCTTTGCACCAGCTTCCACCTTTCTCTTCCACTGGGAATCAGTCACTCTTTCCTAACTATCAGCTGGAATATATTTACGAACTTATAAACTTTGGTCATCAAAAAAGAACTGCAAGTACTCAAAGTCGAGAAAATAAGTTTTGTTTTTTATCTTCACATTTCCCTCACCTTTACTGCAACTGTCAGATGACAAAACTGAATTTACAGGTAAGCGTGCTTATGTTACTGAGAGTTTTCTTCTGGGTTTTTTTTTTTGGTGTTTGGTTGGTTTTTTTTTTAAAGCTGTGCAGATGGTCAGTTGCAGACTATATATATAGTGTCTTCTCAATGGAAATTTCTGTTGGATCTAGGAAAGCATTGTTGGTCTCATCTCTTTCAAACTTAATGGAAGATACTGAACTACGTCTGGATCTATAATAACTTATCTCTACTGTACCCTCCCCAGCACCCACGCTGGAATACCCTAAAATAAATCAGAAAGTAGCAGCAGCAAGAGCTCCTGAAATGAGTAGGTCTATTAATCCCACTTTTCATCTATTAGTCTCCGTTCCTTCTGTTTTCTTTGGTCTTGAGACGTTTTAATGACAGTTTTGCCATTTCTAGAATTAAAAGCTGTTCTCTACTGATTCCTTAAGTAGTATAGGGAGCTCTAGTGGGCTAGTGATAGAATAGTTGCACTGCCAACACAAAGGCATGTGGTTCTAATCCACCAGCTGCTATTCAGGAAAAAAATGAGCCATCTTCTCCTGTGCAATTTACACTCTCCGAAAACCCACTGGAGGGTCAGCTATAAGCCAGTTTTTACTTGACAGTGTATAACAACAAAGCAGTGGGTGAAATACCTATCAAGTTATTATTTTTTTTAAAATTGTATTGTTTTTCAATCATCCATGTGCATTTTGTACCATAACATTAATTACAATATCCACAGTGTCTGATCATCCATTAATTCCATATTGTTTTTCCCTTTACTGATTTTATTAAGTATTACCTACTAATTAATTTTATACTCTGTCTGTTCTCCTCCCTGGTAATCACACTAGTATAAGTCTCTATGTGTGTTAATAATCACACTAGTATAAGTCTCTATGTGTGTTAAGTGGTTCTTTAGCTTTTTATTACAGTAGGCTTATATAATAATGGATTCATTTCATATGGTATAATGTCCTCCAAATTCATCTATGTTATATACTGTTTTACTAATTCTTCATTCTCTGAATTGCTTAGCATTCCATTATATGAATGTACTATAGTTTCTCCAGCCATTCCTTCACCGATGGACACTTGGGTTGTTTCCAATGCTTTGCTCTTATGACTATGCTATAATAAACTTGAATGTGTTTATACATCTGTTTGTGACTCTGCTCTTAATTTCTTCTTAAGCTATTTACTTAACAATGGAATAACTAGATCAAAGGGTATTTCTGTTTTCAACTTTTTAAAGGAAACCCCAGACTTCTAACCTCAACTTATTCTTTGACAATTCCTGTACTTCTACTTTTATTGAAGGTTATTTTTAGTGATCTTACAAATAATTTTTATTTTAAGTTCTGAGAAGCTTCCTAGAAAGAGGAAACGAGGCTTAGTAACATGAAAAGTGTCTTTAAAATATAAAGGACTGTCATGTAAAAGGGCTGGTAAAAAACTGTATCACTATAGTACAGTGATATTACTTGGAAGTGTAAGTTTAATGGAGCTAACCTAAGATACTTCCTTCTCATTTTTTAGAATAGTTATGTAGAAGTATTTTTTCAATAAGTTGGATCCAAGAGGCATAACCAAAAGCCAGTAACAAAATATGTTATTGTTATGAGCCATCAAGTCAGAACCAACTGATAACTGACCTTCTCATGGGTTTTCAGAAGCTATAAGTCAAACAGAAGAAGACTGTCCATCCTCCTCCCATAGAACAACTAATGGATTCAAACTGCCTGCCTTTGGCTTGGCAGTGCAACTCCTTAATCACTAGGCCACCACAGTACCGTTATAGAAAAAAATGAAATTAAATCTGCATTGGTTTAACCTAATTGAGGTAGATTCTACAATAATGGTTTTATATGGTATTTATCCTTAGGGAACAGAGTTAGTTCACTCATAATGCTCTCCAGTCCCTCCCAAGTTAGGTAATAATTTACAAAATCATTGCTCCTGCATGCTGCACAGTATTCCATGGTGGGAATGTACCCTAACTTTTCAATCCATTCGATTGTGGTTGGACATCTGGGCTCTTTCCTTGTTCTTGTGATGGTGAATAACACTGCAATAAACATTAGTGTACAAGTCTCCATTTGTGCCTCAGTTCTCATTTTCTCAGCGTTTGTTCTAAACAGTGGAATAGCTGGGTCATATGGAATGTCGATGTTCATCTTTTTGAGGAAGCGCCAAACTGCCTTCCAGGGTGGTTGTACCATTGTACATCCCACCAACAATGTATAAGAGTTCCTATCTTGCCATATCCTCTCCAACATTTATTACTTGCTGTCTTGTTAAGCTTTGTTACATCTACTGGTGTGAGATAGTATCTCATTGTGGTTTGATTTGCATCTCTCTTATTGCCATTGATTTTGAGAATTTCTTCATGTGTCTGTTGGCCATTCAGATATTCTCCTCTGAGAAAATTCTTTCCATGTCTTTTGCCCATTTTGTAATTGGGTTATCAGTATTTTTCTTGTAGAGGCTCAAGAGTATTGTGTAAACTTTCACAGTTAGGGACCTTTCCAAATTATTAAGGACTACAGATGTCAGTTTGAAGACTAAAGTGTGTCTGATTCAGGCCATAGGCTTTCTCATTACTAGCTATGCATCTGAAAGCTGGACAATGAATAAGAATGACAGGAAAAGAATTGACACCTTTGAGCTGTAGTGTTGGAGAAGAGCACTGAACATCCCATGGATGGCCAAGAGACCGAACAGATGTCTTGGAGAGGGTGCAGCCGAAGTGCTCTTTGGAGGCAAGAATGATGAGGCTTCTCCTCACATACTTTGGACATGTTAGTAGGAGAGGCTATTCCTTGGAGAAGGGCATGGATGTTGGGAAGGGTGGAGGGTCGGTGAAGGAGAAAAAGACCCTCAACCAGGTGGATTGACACAGTGAGTGCTGCAGTGGGCTCTTGTGTATCAGGAAGTGTGGGGATGGCAGTCTAGAACAGGGTTCAGATCGTTTATTCATAGGGTCGCTATGAGTCGTGCTCAGCTTGATGGCACATAACAACAACAAGCTGCAGAGACATCTTCTGGGGCCATTGAAGAGAAAATATGATAATGTAGGATGTTTTTCTTGCTCTACAGCAGCAACACCTTTGGCTGAACTGGAGATCTGATGTGAGATTGGACCTTGGGGGGGGGGTAGGGGCAGGTGGAGTCAATCTTGGCAGGACTGAGAACTTGGGAATACTGGCCTGCATCTCTGAGGAGGCTCTAGGCTGAGATGCCTGCATGCACATTTCAGGAGTTGTCTTGACTGTATTCTGTTATTAATCTGGATTATAACATTTTTAGTTTCCCAATTAAAAAGTAAAGTAATTGAGGTGGAGACTGATGGAAGAAACTACATGTTGCTTGGGAGGTTGTCAGAAAAGTTGTATTTATACAAAGCTTGTTAATTTCCTGGGATTCCCTTAAACTTCAAACGAGGTGGCTTGAACAGCATTAATTAATTTTTTCATAGTTCTAGAGGTCAGTATTGGGAAGGGTATGTGCCAGGGATGTGTCCTATCTTCATACCATTTCAATCTATATGCAGAACAGATTACCTGGGAGGCTGTGCTCTACGAGGAGAAATGTGGCATCAAGATTGAAGACTCATCAACAATCTGCATTATGCAACACCACTTGCTGAAACGGAGGAGGACCTGAAGCGTTTGTTGCAGAAGGTCAAGGACTGCAGCCTTCAATATAGATAGAAGCTCAAAATCAAGAAAACAAAGATTCTCCCCACTGGGCTGATTAGCAGCTTCTTGATGGACAATGAAGAGATTGAGATTGTTCACAGCTTTAGTTTGCATGGCTCCACAGGCAACATTCTTGGTATCAGCAGCCAGGAAATAAAAAGTTGAATTGTATTGGGAAAGTCTGCTGTCAGAGACCTCTCCAAAGTACTAAAGAGCAACAATGTCAGTCTGGAGACTTAAGGTACACCTGATCTATGCCATAGTCTTTGCAATGACTTGCTGTGCATCAGAAGCTGGACAATAACTAGGGATGACAGAAGAATTGATGCCTTTGAGCTGTAAGAAGAGTATTCGAATATACCATGGACTGCTAGAACAAACAGGTTTGTCCTAGAGAGGATGAGACCAGGCTGCTCCTTGGAGGCAAGAATTCTGAAGCTGCATCTGACATACTTTGGACATGTTGCAAGGTGGTATCAGTCCTT